ATAACACAATGAGAGTGGTAAAGCAGTTTTACTTTGAAAACTTCCTTTATATGATCTTATAATTTAATAACTATCTAAAATACCTTCCCTTTTTGGTTTCTTTGCAAACTTCAAATGCAAACACAAATCTTATTTTAGAGAAAATGTATGTCATTAACCAGGATGTAGGCTGGGCTTGCTACCTGACCGTCCGCGTCATGTTCCTCTCGTGTTAAACCTTCTGCTCACATGCTTCTCTGCCTTTTCAACCGTTGTTGACTTATTATGTGCACAGCTTTTGGTACCGAAATGATATGCAAAAGCCTTAAAGTTATGTGATTTCAAAAGCTGAGGTAGTACCGTATTAACTCCAGTGGATGTCAGGGCTGGATTGAAAACTCAGATTTTCCCAAAATTCAATCTTCAACCCTTTTTTGACATTGTTAACATATTTTCTTAAATTAGGTTTGAACTCATGGTCCTACTCTGAGTGACTTAAGGACAGAAAGATGACCTGATAATATAAATATAACAAAGTAAGCTTTAGGGCGGGCCTGCTGGGATCGACGAGTCTCTGCGGTGTCTTCATGTCACTCTGCATTCCACATAAGGTAACTCCGTTCATTGGTTGCAAAAGACAGAACGAGGCGATTGCCATTACCAAGATGGTGAAGCTTCATAACGTCAGATCACAGATAAATGGGTGGCGTCACAACGACTACGCCGGCTTCTTGTTTACAGTCCACAGTAAATTGTTGGTGTAGACAATAAACAACAGATGTACTTTCCATTTTTTGAAGGAGAGACTATTTGTGTTTTCAACATCCGCTGTCACAATGATGTCACTCGTTAAGCAGGTTAAACACCCGCATCTGTGGCAGCAAACTATTACTTGATTGACTACCACTAGTCTATGTGCAGCCCAATTTAACAACCAGTGAAGTCAAACCTCTGAGTCCAAGTCACCTAACAGGAAAACATGTGGTGATTCATCGCTCGTTATTTCTCCAACAAATACGCGTGTCTGCCCTCTATCTATTGGGCCACTTGCTAAGCTGTTCCACCCACTGATTCATGGCACACTGAACGTTAAGGCATCTGGTGGAAAGAGAAACTCAAGAGGGGCTTGAGGTAAAGGAAGGGAGGGAGGGAGGGAGGAGGAAGGAAGGACGGGGGCGTTGAAAGCAGAGCAGCGTTGCAGACGGCGAATCACGTGAGCAGGGATCTGTTTACAAATTGTTGGGAGACGAGGGAGGAGAGAGCAGGGGAGTGAACGCGAGAAGAGAACACACGTGGAAGGAGAAGATCTGAATTCACACAAGCAGAATTGTCCTCCTGTGCCGTTCACCCCCCCCCCAAGTGTTCTTTGTGCAGGGAACGTCACGGGTCTTTCCACAGGGACGCCGTGTGCCCGGTTGGCTGGCTGTGCTGCTGGGGAAACCCATCCATGTCCTCTCCTTTTGAATAGGGGAAGCCACGTGGAGATCTGCAAAGGACAGAGGAAAGGAAACAAGGGGAGAAGAGAGAGAGCCTCGTGACAATGTTTTGAAGGGGAGGCAAAGCAGGATAGAGGTACATAACCAGAGCGCTGGATGGGATCGGGAGTGTATTTCGATACTGCAAGGGACATTCTCCCAGTCTCCAAGGCTTCTGTCTTTGTCCTTTAGTGGCCTTTGGCCGCCTCAGACTGCGGTTCGAAAGAGCAGCTGGTTAACTTGGTGTTGTCTTTTCGAGATTGTGGGAATACTCAATCAGATCTGCTTACCCCGGACGCCAAGGAATTGGCTCACTGCACATCACCTGGACCTATACGCGTACTGGATAAACAGGTCAAAGCGGGAGCTTTTGTGGAACTCAGACTTTGTGCTATCTGACATGTCCCAACACTAAAGGATCAATCGACTAAACATTCATGTATTTAATTCTTCCCGTCCAATGGTGTAACGGTAGGTGCCTTTTTTAAATTTTCTTTTTCTTTTTTTTTTTTGTCAGCTCAAACTTAGCCTGTAAAAGAAGCTTACTGGCTTCAAGATCCAAGCCAACAAACATCTTTGCACTCATCGCCTAATCATGCGGTAGCATACACACCTGGGACTGTACCTGTCCTCTGAACACTCAAAGTGCTTTAAATCTACACGTCATCATTCAGCCATTCAAACACTGATACGGAGGGGCCACCTCCCTCCTCCAGAACTAACAATCACACAACACTCGTACCCCGCAGGCACAGCGCGCGGATCTATTCAGGGGTTAAGTTTCTTACCCAACGACACATTGGCGTGAACAAGCAGAGCCAGGCATCATAACGCACATCCCCGGATTGAAGGAGGACCCTGCTCTACTGCCCCGGTCGTAAGTACACGGCAGTTACCCACCATTGGTTCTTACCTGTCAGCTAAAGTTAGCTTGCACATTACGTAAGCCTTAACTAGATAAGATATTTCTTTGTTTTGTTATTCAACTCATTTTTAAACTTTGGAAGGTTTTTCCACACATCTTAACCTCTTAATCTTACTGATGGATTCATGAATAGCTCCCCACACCCCCGGCCTAATGTGAAAATACCGAACTATGGTCACAATGTGTTTATTATGTGTGTGAGCACTGACATGACCTTAAACACACACCACAGAATACAAAGACCTCCAAAGAAAGTTTGCATGAAATCAGTTTTGTTCATTTTCCAGCCAAAACATGACTGTTTGTGTTTAACAGTTTAGTGGTATCCAGAATGCATGTGCACAGTGGCCTACCTCTTAGTGCTCAACCATCAATGATTTAATAACGTTGTGCTAAGATTACAGCTTCCTCATCCTTTAAACGCTTCCTAAACGTTAACGTTAACACCTAGGGACGGGTGCTAATTGCCGTCCTTCATGCATTCCACCCAATCTTCTCCCCAAAGAGTTTTTTTTGGGAGTTTTTTCTCCTGTCAGGTAGTGAATAAGCAAAGGATCAGAGGACAGCGCTGCGAGGCAAATATTTGAACCATATAGAACTGGGTTAAACATAATGGTTAAGATGTGATAAACTGTGATGATTTAAGATTGAGTTATGATTAAAGTTATTATTAAAGTGTACTAGCTATTAAATGGTGATGATGGTGATGATATTATGCATGCTATGGTATGTTTACATGATCATTGAATGTACTGTAGTATTAAGTGAACAGGGATCGGTCAGGTCAGTGAGGGGTTTTAGATTCGGCCATCAGATGGAGCCAGGAGGGAGTCATGTGATGCCTTGGAGAAGAAAAGAATCCACGAGAGTGTAGCTGGGCTTGAATGTGGAGCCAATCACATACAAGTGGATCACAAGCGACGCTGCCACGAGATTGTAAGAGCTGAGCTGAGAAGGAGCAGGCAGAAGCCTCCTGTGAACCAACATTGATGGTTACATGAGACTGGACGAGGGGACTTCTCTATTTTGTGTAATGATATTATACTATTCATACTTTGTAACTGTATTGCTTATTACTTCAGTTAGTTTCTAAATTCAAACGTCAAGACCCACATAGAAAAATGGGGGGTCAACAAGACGTTCGACATGTTGTTCCATTCTTCCTCGCAGCTTTTTGCATGTGACAGCTGCTGATGAGACGTTTTCCTCCTACTATCCACAGACCACTGGCATGGCTTGCACCTTCAGTGAAGTGTCTTCCTTGATGTTTCACATGTTCATGATAGTGGCGTAGGAGCCGAGTTGTGATGTGGTTGTGGATGTGCTTCCCATTTTTCAAGCTGTGGCTGATTGATGTGTCCACCTATTCTCAGCAGGCCTTCATCGTCAATGAAGAGTTTGACTTCATGCATTTCAATTCTTCTGAGTAGCTTTCTTGGTGCCCACACTTTAAGATGACATGTTCTGCTTTGGTGATGTCAGCAACTGCCAACCCTTTCTTGCACATGTGCCACCGGCACAGCGGGGAGTGTTTGATGGGAGACGGGTGATGGGCTATGTGACGGAGGCGAGCTGCTGCTTTGGGTGTAAATGCTCAAACCTCTTTGAACCCAGTTTTTCTTCTGTCACTTTTGTGGCAAGAGATGTTATGCTTGTTTGAATCTCGGCATCAGAATCTGGTTCTACAAGGACATACGTTGTCTTGTCTCCCGTGTCAGCCACTGAACTTTTCAGCTTGGTCAGGAAAGCTGGACCAGCATGTGGTGTCTGTAGGTTTGAGCTAGTTTGGACTTACCAAAGACAAATCCGACTTCACTGTGAACACGTTCGTTTGTAACCTTCAGGTAGACACACAGTTCTGTCTTTTGCTTTGGACATCAGGAAAGATGCATATGTGCGTGGGATATGTACCTCCTTTAGTGTAGAGATTGATTTCCGCCATCTTCTCCAATCTTCAGATTCGGACCCAGGAAGACATGTGTTCTATTCTGTAACTTTGGTCGAGGAAGCTCTCTGCCTTCAATAGTGACAAGAGCCAAGAAACCGAGTGGATCAAACAAACTGTTGACAGTACACCTTGATGTGTGAATGGTATTTTTAGCCTCGGGAACATGGAAAGTGAAAGTGTCCGACATAATATTCCAGGTGACTCTAAGGCTCCGTTGAACAGGCAAGTCGTGGGTGGAGAGGTTGAGGTCTTTGATGTCCTTTGCTCTTTCCTCTGTTCATCACTTCTGTTCGATTTGAGGCGATCTTGTGCAGCATGATGTTTGATGCAGCCCACATTCTCTGTGTTCAACGGACAACTTCAATGGCCTCAGCTTCGGTTGTGAATGATCTAAGACCATCGTTGACGTAAAAATCTCTTTCAACGAAGTGTCTAGCATCACTGCCATAGCAATCCTCTGGGTGTTTTGCTGCTCGCCTCAGACCAAAGACGGCCACCGGCAGTCATGGGCTGTTCCCAAAAACAGAAACTGGCGCTCGAAATGGTGGAATGATGTCTGTGATGACACCAGGACCACAGAGAGTCTTTACATCTTCCGCCGCAAACTAAAGACACACATCTTCAGACTGTGCCTCGACTAAAAAACACAAAACTAGCACTTAAATTGTACTTAAAATGGCTCTTATCTATAGCAAGTTTTAAATCGACCCGTTTTGTATCCTTATGGTTGAAATTATTGTAAGTCGCTTTGGATAAAAAAACTAAATGACTAAATGTAATGAACTGAGAAGCACTCCATTGTTAAGGTCTGGCCCGGAAACCAACACATCATTCAGTGAGATTCCATCAAGCTGCACTGGAATCAAATACCACACAAATCTGGTCTGGTTTTTGAGTGTTGTACAAGCTCAGCATGCTCTTTGTCAAGCATTTTTTGTGTGAATTCAGTGAAATGCCCTTTCAGTCCAGGTTTCTTCTGCGACGTCCATCGCAGCGACATCAGGCGGCTGTGAGCAAAGTCTTTAGCGAGATGTCAGTTTGCGTCATCCGTTCCACAATCTGCATGAAGGCTCGACCCTCGATGGAGTGAGCTAGCAAGTTGTCATTCTCTGTTGTACAGAAAACTGATTTTCCGAGGCTATCTATCTTTGGTATCGTTGATGTACTTTGCGTGGGTTTGTGAAGGAGTGGATTCTTGCCATTATTTTCGATATGATAGTTTTCTTTCATTCACATCTGATTCTCACGTGAAGTAAAGCTGGTCTTCCATTTTCTGGATGGAAGTCTTCATGGCACTGACTGTTAGCCTTGTGAGCGCCTCCGAGGCATACGTCCCCTATTATGACCCACCCAAGGTCAAGCTGTTGTGCATCGTGAGGGCCATTGTGCTGTTTACCAACTTTATGGGCCCTTACAATGTCCGTACCCAGTAGTAGCAGAATGTCAGCGCCTGGATCAAGAGCTGGTATTCAGCCGCTATTCGTCTCTGGTGGTGGTACGCAGCTTATGGTGTTGGGATCCCTGCGCCACTATTTGGAATGTCATTACACCCGGTTAGTGTAGGAGTGGCATGTTCGTTCTTCCATCTATGGATTCCACCGTAAATCCACAGGCTTTTCTGCCAGCTGTTTCCACCATCCCTGCACAGGTTTTGACTGTGTATACCACTGCTTCTCCCTTGATGTTGAACATTTCATAAAACTTAGATCTAGCTAAGGACACATTGCTCTGGTCTTCCAAAATGGCATTTTCCAAAATACCCCTTTCTCTTTAGGTTACGGTGACAACTGGGATACACATTCACAATGCAGATCTTTGAGCAGGATTTGCCTTTAAAGTCATTACCACAAACTTTGGTACATTTTGACATCTGGCTGCTCTGTCTCCTCCGTGTCCCCGCCGCTCTCCGAGGAAGGCAAGAAACTTGGCTGGGACTGTGGAGCAGGACCGGGATGAAGAGCAGAGAGGTGTTTATCGCTGTCACACTCTGTGCATTTGATGCGGGTTTCACAGAACTTCGCCTGGTGCGTTGTGGAAGCACAGCAACAAAAGCATATGTTGTTCTCATTTTCCTGAACCCTCTGCATTTCTTCACTGGGTGGGGCTTTTTATGTAGGGGACACAGTCTGCAGAGATCTTCTGTTTTGGTTACTGTGTCCTGAGATGTGATGCTTGTCTTGTGTACAGAGACCGGTTTAATATGACTTCTCAATCTGGTAAGAGGTTGCAGTGAGAGTGGGGGGGGTGAAAGCTTGCGTCATTTCTGTCTTCAGCTTCTCAGCAGACTAATTCTCGGAAAAAGAATAAGTCTTGTAGATATACGGGAAGCTTCTCGACAATAGGCTGCACTCCTCTTGTTGTGTCAAGGTCAACTAGCCCCGGTAAGTATCCGTCTCTTTTTTCAACATCCAACTCTATCAATTGGTCTTTCAGCTCTTGAAGTTTTTTACTGTCTCGCTTATGAATCCTGGGGAAGTTCTCTATTTTAGTAAAAAGCTTTCTCTATGACCTCTGGAGATCTATGTGTTTTGTTTAATCCCTCCCAAACTCTTTGAAGACCAAAAGGAAGGTTACCTGACATTGACAGACCCGATCCTAAGTGCCTGATTACTGGAATCCTTTCCCAGCCACTTTATCAGCAAATCCATCCCTTGTATTCACTTGTTGACATCTCGAGGTTTACAATAGTGTCGATGAAGGTCTCTCACCAAGCCTGGTAGTGTTGAGGTAGGTCATCAAACCAACTGATCAGCTACTGTAGCATTATGATTTTTTTGTCTGAGGCGGATGACTTTCAGTGGAGAGCATTGTGCTGTTGATCATAATTCCTCCGCTGTAAGACCTCTGCGGGAAGCTCTTGTGTGTCCCGTTGATGGTACATGGTCCTATTGATGATGTGTGACTGGGTCTGCTGGGGTGAGAGTAGTGGACGTAAAGGGTAAACTTCCGTATCCTCTTTTGGTGCCTGTGTGAAATGCTGCAGGGCATGATCGCTGACATAGTCTCTTAAAGGGGCAGGAACTTGAGTTCTTTCATACCTGCAGAGTAGCTTGTCTATCTTAAAATCCTCTTTAAAGTCCCACGGAAGGTGGTCGTCCTTTTACTGTGCTGCCTTTGCTAAAAGTTGTTTGAAGAAAACACTGCATTGGTTCCAATACAGCGACCTTGGATTGCACAACTACGACCGCTACTGCAAGATGTCGTCTGAGGAGCTCTTGCAACTGCCGCTCAACTTCTACATCACCATCCTGGGCATCGGCCTCTTCATCCTAATACTCACCTTCATCTTCTGCTGCTACATGTTCAGGTACAACAGCACAGAGGTGGACGGGTTAAGGGGACAGGATTCGGATTTACAACCGACAGTCTTTTTAAATGGGAAATATGGCTTCAGCATTTTTTGTATGAATTGCATTGAATGTATATTGCACATTCTCGCTGAAACATTAGATTGAGTAAATGTGATGAAATGATCTCTGTTTTAACCGCTAGACCAGTATTTTACCCTGTCTGTCTGTTCTTGTTCTTGTTCCATCTTAATATCAGGCTCATATTGTACATGAACATTTGCATCATAATCTTTATAGTGAGCGCTTATGAATGGAAAGCACTTAATTATACAGATGACATTGTAACATTTTAAATAGACACTTAAGCCGAGCTGGAGTTTTAAAAAGTATTCAAATAAATAAACCTAGGAGCAGATGCACACAAAGTTTTTGTACTATGTGGAGACGCCAGTAAACCTCTGTAGAGAGACTGTGAAAATATATATACAGTTTTAAGCCAAATTAGGAATTGTTCTTAAGCGCAGAGGTGCACAGGCTGTTACTTGAATTTGACATGGTCTGAATTCCAGCCTGCCGGACCCAGTATTTCAGCTGATCATTCAGCGAGACAAGACATGTTCTGAAGAGGACATATATGGGGCTCCATGCACATAATGCAATTTGTATGATAAATTATTGTGTTCTTTCTGCTTCCCAGACTCAGGCGACATGGAGCTATAAAACAGTATTGTTACAACGAGGTAAAATGCTCTCACTGCTGTGTATCAAATTCTAACTCACATGATGTACTTGTTGTTTTCTCTGGTGAACTTTGTCACAACTCGATTCTCGTCAACAGGTGGTTTTGAAAGGAGCGGGGAAGAAGCTGAGCCTGATGGGCGTAAGTTGAATACAGAGTGAATGGGAATCAATGGGCTCAAATGAAAGGAGAAAACATACTGTTAGTCAACGGCAGCAATTGTGTTGCTAGCATACGCTAATGTGTTAATAACCATTCAAACGGGTGATAAATGAGGGCCTTTATTATTATTTTTCTTATTTAATTACTGGAGTTTATATCATATCTTCGTAATATTAGAGTGGTGAGATCAGGAGGATGGTTTAGTCTATATTTACTATCATTACCTAAATGTTAATGCATTCATGCCAAGGACAACAACTCATAGAATATATTGTGAATTTTGTAGTACATACTGTGCAACGTTGAGTAAGGGGTTACATCAGTAATCATATTATAGTAGTGTAGTCATGACAAATGATACTGATTATTTAAGCTAAACATTATTAGCTGCAAAACGGATGCATTATCTTTCTGACTTTTTAAATGCTGTATACTGTGGAGTGTTTAGTATCAGGATTCTCTGCATTGACTGAACATGGTGCTGGTGCTGATGTTAGAAGTCGTTTTGTTTCCCCTCTTCAGCAAACGTGTGCAGTGTGCCTGGAGGAGTTTCGCAGCAGGGATGAGCTCGGAGTCTGCCCGTGCTCCCATGCTTTTCACAAGAAGTAAGTTTTACATCTGTGATCATCATCTTTGATTAGAGTGGACAAGCTGACTGATTAGTGAACATTCTCTCATTTTACAGTAAAATGAAACAGACTGACATTTTCTTGCCGACGGTTTCCTAAAAATGCAACAATATGGTTTTTGTAGAGACCTAACATATCTTGCTTTAAGCCATGCAAGCTGTTGGCGGCTTTGGCATAATATTGAAAATGTGTCTCTGATTGACACTTCTCTTTCTACATAACCAGGTCCTTTGAACTGTGTACGTATACTGTTCCTATAAGTTTCTATACTATGCAATGAAAAATCGGGGTAATGTGTCGCTCATCTCGTTTCCCAGCTGTCTGCTGAAATGGTTGGAGATCCGCAGTGTTTGCCCCATGTGCAACAAATCCATTTGTCGTCTCCAGCCTGAGCCGCCTACAGAACCTGAGCTGTTCCAGGGTTTCCTGGAGGTCTGAGATGGAAACAGCAGCACGCCATTCAGTTCACATCTGTCACCATAGATCAGGTCTCACCACCCACAGTTTGTAGGTTTAGTAATGTAGACATTCTTTTGTGGCCTGAAGTGTCTGGCTCCACTTAAAGCAGAGATATGAGGAACAAGCACAAGTAAGCTAGATATGAAAAATGATCCAACAGCAAAGCCCAGCCCAGTGTTGGCAACTTCTCTCTGATAACAGAAGGTGACTAGCGCTTAAAACCACTCAAAATCCCAAGACAGTCCGGCGTCCCTCCAAAGCCACTCCCCCAAAACGATCACCATGAGCATCATCAACCATCATGGACGCTGCTGTTGAGTCAAAGTCGCAGAAAGAGCCCCCGGCTTTGAAAGCAAGAAAGCAACCATGAAAGACTTTTATCCCACTGACTTACAATATGGAAAAGATGTGCGTGAATCAACACGTATTGTTTTTTGTATAAAAAATAAATCAACTTTGCAGTAGCAACACTCAGGAACATCTTTAGGTAAAGCTGTGTGCCAAGTGAGGTCTGGGAGGCCACTTTCACATTTATTTTGGTAACAAAAACAGTGCTGCTATTAGTTTTTTTAAATGAGCTTACGTTTAATCAGTGCTGCAGAATACTGTGGCTATAGCTCTACCCACTAAAGTTTAATTGGATGATGGTGGAAAGCGCCACTTTTGCAATCAGCGTCAACATCGTGGCCTCCAATTCCTGGTCTGAGTGGCCTGTTTGGTCGAAGAGGAACAACTTCTCGTGTCTCCAACAACCGTAACCGCTCCCCTCTGCATGTGAAACGTCAGTGCTGTTACTCAACTAAAGAGATTGTTTCTGAACCCTCAAGCAGCTCAGTCTCAGTTTGGATGACCCTCTGTATGTTTTCACTTTTCCCCCGAAAGATGACGTGCAGAGCCACGTGAGCGGCATGTGTCTTAGTACGTCCGCCAGCCCTTTGAAGAGCCTGGAACTTGGAATGATGGAAGACGACATAAAAAAACTCACTACTGCCCCAAATATGAGGACAAAGGTGAAAACAGTAATGAAAGACATTCCTTCAATGAGGACTTTTAACAAATACTGAGGAATTGTTTAACATCATAACTGGCTTCCAGTGAAAAGGACTTGTGTGTCATATTGTCCTTTGTGAAATAGCTGGATGCCATTGCAGCCTGCGGGACGGATGAGCTCTGTACTTTAGTGATATAAATAGACACGCCGCACTGATATGAAGAGCATGTTTGAGCTGGTTTACTGTGTGAGTGAGGTGCACCATTCACTCCATCACACTCTGTATGCACTGCGTAATGTACTATAATGAGTACATTGTAAATTGTAAATGCTTTTCAATTTTCTGAACAATATAAAGGTAAGCAGCTTCTTGATATGGTCACCTGGATCCAAATTTTTTTCTAGTTTTGCCACACGTCGACACTGTGTTTATTTGTAACCCATTGTTATAACATTTAGGGAAAATTCGCCCCTTGGTGGGGTTGTGGCTTTTTGGGGGGGTGTATTGGTGCGGCTTTAGTGTGTGTGTGTTCAGCAGTCTTTGTGGGGGGGGGGGGGGGGGGTGCCACCTCCTAAATTATCCACCATCCTAAATAATGTTTTACCAGGACTGGATCCTTGGAGCCATCTGTAACAATACATTCTTCCTGAAGATATATCGAGTAAAGGTTCTGAGAGAAAGCAGAAGAATACTTAGTTCAAGTCATCTAGTCAAAGACCTGAGATCCCTACCAGGTGTTTTATGAGATGGATTTATCCTCCCAGTAAATTCCCGGTAATCACAGAGCTGTATTCGCCATTTAATTTAAACCACTAGTGAATTCCCAATTCATCCCACCTAATTCTCAACAGGGTTTCCCCAGGTTTCAAGTACAGAAAAAATTAAGTGCTGAGAAAGTCTAAAGTGGAGTTCTTTATGTTTTCATCACAAAAACTAAACACCAAGTTTAAAGTTTAGTTTTTTTTTAGATCTTTCTTATTTAGATCTCTTTTCCAGATCTCTCTTTTTTTTTTTTTTTTTAGATCTTTTTTTAGTTTTTTTCAGATTTTTTTTTTTTCAGGGTAGATGGATGAGGTAGGATGGAGTGGGAGGTGAAGGAAGGTGTTCTTACAGGTGTCCAGTCTCAGGCACGTTGATGTTGACGTCCTGGATGGTCTGCTTTTTCTTCTCTCTCCTCCTTCTTTGTCTCCTTGTCCTGCATCTTATGCCTCATTTTGTCCATCTCCGTCTGCCGGTCTTTTTTTTAATTTTTTTTTTTAAGTACAGGCAGATGTTTTCAAGGACTGTTTTGTTGTCCTCTAATTCTTGGATCCTGGTGATAAGGATCTGATGTTCTTTGGGGATGGTATTCTTTTTTTCAGAATTTTTTTTTCAGGGTAGATGGATGAGGTAGGATGGAGTGGGAGGTGAAGGAAGGTGTTCTTACAGGTGTCCAGTCTCAGGCACGTTGATGTTGACGTCCTGGATGGTCTGCTTTTTCTTCTCTCTCCTATTTCTTTGTCTCCTTGTCCTGCATCTTATGCCTCATTTTGTCCATCTCCGTCTGCCGGTCTTTTTTTTTTTTTTTTTTAAGTACAGGCAGATGTTTTCAAGGACTGTTGTCCTCTAATTCTTGGATCCTGGTGATAAGGATCTGATGTTCTTTGGGGATGGTATCCTCCGTTTGTTGGATCTTAGCGATCAGGCACAACTCAGTGAAACCACTGCTTGTGACCATCTCGTGGTGGGTATCCTCTTGGCTCTTTCCTTTTTTTTTTATGTTGGAAAATGCCCCCCCGCACCCGCTCCCGTCCCCCCGCATCCCCCGGCCATTTCCATGCCTGCGTGGGGGTATTTAGCACTGTGATGGTGGCGGTGTCGTTGGCGGGGAGGGGAATGGGGGGGGCGATTTTTGTTTTTTTTAATGGGGGAAAATGGTCACCCCCCCCCGCACCCCACATATAACTTTTTGGCATTTTTGGACCAGCCTCCTCATTCAATGGGTATTTTTTATTCCCTGTGCTCCATCCAGTAAGTGTTCTTTTCCAACTTCATTGACTGGAAAGTAGCACAGCGGCTGAGGAATGAGGAATCTTTTACATCTCATCCATTTCTTTCTTTGGCGAAATGCAAGACCGCAAATGAAGATGAGAGGATTTCTGTATCTGCGCACATACCCTGAACCCGGTCATTTGGCCGATGTTCGGATAACCTCACACAGCCGGTTTGACAAATCAATAGTAACAACTTGTGAAGGTAGTCCAACAGTTTCATTCGGTCGTCATTGGAAACTGGGTTCTCGGTTTAATTTCTCAAGTTATACATTATGCAAGGTAGACCCACATGACCCCCTCTATACTTTGTATTAAAGGCATGGCTAGTGGTAAAAATAGCATCTGTTAAATTATATTTATGATATTGTAATAAGATATTATGTCATATTTTGAAATATGGTGCTATATTTACGATATTAGTTATATATTATGTTACATGGTATTAGAAATATGCAATACGATGCTATTTTATAGTATTACTTCTACGATATTAAGTTAAATTATATTAGAAATATGGAATACGATGCTATTTTATGATATTAGTTCTACGGTATTAAGTTAAATTATATTAGAAATATGGAATACGATGCTATTTTATGATATTAGTTCTACGGTATCAAGTTAAATTATATTAGAAATATGGAATACGATGCTATTTTATGATATTAGTTCTACGGTATTATGTTAAATTATATTAGAAATATGGAATACGATGCTATTTTATGATTTTAGTTCTACGGTATTAAGTTAAATTATATTAGAAATATGGAATACGAGGCTATTTTATGATTTTAGTTCTACGGTATTAAGTTAAATTATATTAGAAATATGGAATACGAGGCTATTTTATTTTAGTTCTACGATATTAAGTTAAATTATATTAGAAATATGGAATACGAGGCTATTTTATTTTAGTTCTACGATATTAAGTTAAATTATATTAGAAATAAGGAATACGGTGCTATTTAATGATATTCGTTCTACGATATTATGTTCTAAGTAAGTATAAAGCCATGTCTCCTATATTGGTTCTACTATATTATGTCATATCAGCGTTTCCCCTATGTTCCCAACTATGGGGGGGCGGACGTATCGGAGGGGGGCGTGGGTGTTATATAATATTAGAAATACTAAGTATGATGCCATGTTTATATTTTACTCCTACATAATGCTATATGATATTAGTCCTATATTATCTTGTTATTATCTATGATATTACAAATACGAAGTATGATAATATGTTGTATATATTGGCATGACATCACTGTAATATTGGCATGGCATCATTGAAACTACAGAGGGGGACATGTGTGTCTACCTTTCCTAATGCATAACTTGAAAAATCTAACCGAGATCCCAATTTCCATCGACGGACATGTTGGAATAAGAATGAAACTTATCGGTCTACCGTCACAAGTTGTCACTGTTGATTCGTCAACCCAGCCGTGGTAGTTCATCCAAACACCGGCCAAATGACCAGGTTCAGGGATGTGCGCAGATACAGAAACCCCCTCATCTTCATCTGCAGCCTTGCATTAGCCAAAGAAGGAAATGGATGAGATGAAAAAGATTCCTCATCCCTCAGAGGCCCTGCCGTGCTACTGTCCAGTCCATGAAGCTGGAAAAAAACACTTCCTAGAGCACAGGGAATGATACTCACCAATGAATGAGGAGCCGGTCCATGCCATGGGGGGGGGGGGGGAATTAGCGCTGTGTTGGGGGCGGCCCCGTGGGGAAAAAGGGGGGGGGGGGCGGGTTGCGGTTTTTTTGCTTTTTTTTAAAGGGGGGGGGGGGGGCAAAAAGCTTTTTTTTTTGGAAAAGGCCCCCCCCCCGCCCCCCCTATAAAAAAGCCCCCCCACATATTTAGCGCTGGTGGAAGGGGCAGGGCAGGGGGGGTATTTAGCTGTGACGGGGGCCGCGGCAGTGGGGGCGCGGGGGTTCTTGAGCGCTGTGAAGCGCGGGTGGAAGAGCAGGGGGTAGATGGATGAGGTGGGACGGAGTGGGAGGTGAAGGAAGGTGTTCTTACTTGTGTCCAGTCTCAGGCACGTTGATGTTGACGTCCTGGATGGTCTCCTTTTTCTTCTTTTCTCTCTCCTATTTCTTTGTCTCCTTGTCCTGCATCTTGCGCCTCATTTTGTCCATCTCCGTCTGCCGGTCCGTTTCTTTAAGTCGAGGCAGATGTTTTTAAGGACTTTTTTGTCGTCCTCTAATTCTTGGATCCTGGTGATAAGAATCTGATATTCTTTGGGAATGGTATCCTCCGTTTGTTGGATCTTAGAGATCAGGCACATCTCAGTGCTAGTGGCCATCTCGTGGTGGGTGTCCTCTTGGCTCTTTTTTAAAGCAGCCAGAGAATCCCTCTTGGTCTTCAGCAGTTTGTTTTCTGCTTCCAACTGCTGCCAGGTCTTGTTGTTGACCCTGAGATCAGCACTTATGACAGAAAGTTTTTTTTTGGTCTCGGTGAGCTTCAGAGATAAACCCTCGTTCTCCCTGATAGTCTCATCCAGAGCCTCTGTCTTGATCTTTAGCAGTTTGTGTTCTTCTACCAACTCCTGGTTGTTGGCCTGCTGCTTGTGCAGCTCTTCTTGAAGAGAAATGTTGGTGGAGAGTAACCCTGTTACTTACTCCAAGGACTGTTGTTGGTAATACAGTTCCTTGAATGTCTTTTCCTCCAACTTCTGCTGCCAGGTCCCTTTGTTGACCGTGAGTTCAGCACTTTTGACGAAGAGTTGTTTGCCGTACTCAAAGAGCTTCAGAAACAAACTTTTCCCCGATAACCTCAGCCAGAGCCTCTGTCTTGCTCTTTAGCAGTTTGTGTTCTGCTTTCAACCGTTGGTTGTTGGCCTGCTGCTGGACCGTGGGTTCAGCATTTTTGACAACAAGTTGTTCGGTGGTCTCTGTGGAGCTTCAGAGACAAACTCTTGTTCTCCCTGATGTGGTCTGAAAACTTATTTCTGTTCTTGTTTGCTCATAGGCAAGATCTTTGCCTTTTAACAGGTTGGTCAAACTGCACCTCCCAGTTTCAGTGTGAGCACTGAGTTCGCTCACCTTCCTTTTCAGGTAGTGCACTTCATCCCGGGCACGAGAAAGTGCCATGTTCACCTTGTATCCGTTGGGAGGAGTCCCGAGAAAAAGGGGGAAGGGGAAAAGGCTGGTGGGATGCCTGTAAATAGGCTGGAAGCCTTGAAAAAGGCTGTTTGTTTGTTTGCCGTTAACGACTCCATGTGGTCTTTGAAGAATGGTGATATATCCATCGAAAGGCTACTTAATTAAGTCTTGTTAAGGACAAACGTCGCTCATTAATTCTCTCACACAAAAATATGCAGTGCTCTGTCCTGTGTTCAGAAT